AACGGAAGTGAAAACTCGACACTCTTCCGGATCAAGCTAGTCAGTCAAGTCTTATTACTGCCGCTACGGTGTCATCAGTTTGACTATCGAACTATCAATTGCAATGGCCCTTCCACCATTCGGAGGGTAACAAGAATATTAGATGGGTCCAAGCACATTTGCTCAGCAGAAGACAGTAAATATGGGCAAATGAAAACGATACAGTGGGACGAAAACAGCAGGAGCTTGTTAATTTTTAAGTTAGAAGACAGATAGGGGAAGCTCACGTGAAAAAGCTCTTTCTATCTACGGTCCACTTCCAGAGGGCAAGCGCTGCTGCCTTCGTCTCGCAGCGGAATATCACCGGATGAGGCTTCGTCTGGAGAAGAAAACGGAATTAAGGTAATTGTTACGACAAAAGAATCACGATTCACAGCTGCAGGGTTGTTACAAGAGCACAAACCAAAACTTCTCACTTTCATAAAAGCATGCATTCAAAAATGCATTGTATGAGGAAGCGTTCTGCTCGGGGAAGGCAGAGGAGAAGGCTAAAGCCACTCTGAACATGCCTCATACCGCAAACAGAGGAACTAGATGAGTTGCACACAAAATTAAAATGTCAATCAGAAGACGAGTTGAACACAGCAAAAGATGAGACAGGGATTAGGGGAAGACGACGTAAGCAGCGGTTATCGGTAAAATCAAAATCGCAATAATACCCTTTTTTTAGACTTGGCAGTCGTCGAGTTCTGAGAGAGATCGGATGGGCAAATTGGAAAACAAATATGTGAACCTATAATCGTAGACAACATGGGATTGTGTGCAACAATATATATTAATCAGACCTGACTTCACGAAAAAGCCCGAAATGGATTTAAGACTGATTAATGTCAGCTCCCCATCCTGAATAGTAATAAAGCAATGACAGGAGGCAGGCTGCAGCGATAGCGAATCTTGTTACCCTGACAAAAATACATCAGAACACCGTCTGATGAGTACCAATTCGACTTAAGTGGGAGTCCTATATCTTGGCTTACAGAGCGGAAAAAAACAGTCCAGTTCTCTTCTCGTTCTAGGTGCCAAATAGAATATTAGTCCATTGAAGGTTCCTATCGAGTATTTTAACATGCAAGAGCTACACTGCACCATCAGAACTCCCTTTATTATGAACGGAATTTTTTCGCAAATCACAAGCCATAAGACCGGGGTTGCGCTGAAAACTTCCGAGTTAGCAGACATTGCAGGCCTTCCCTTCATGAACACTTGCGTATCCCTTATTGTAAGAGAATGGCTAGTAATCGCAAGGAGACCTTTAACCAAATAAAAACTGTAGAACACTCGAAATAAATCCAATTCCACCCCATACTTCGGCAGGTTCAATCGCCTTTTTTGACTAGACAATATTCCTAATAAGTACACAGACAACGCCCCCCTGTGAATGTTGTCAAATGAGGCGAGTTACTTGAAAGCTCTGTGCGTTTATCCACTGGCCGTCATAAACATACCCGAAGAGTCCTCAGACTGACAAAATCTAGCATGGAGCCGTCCGTGACAACGGTGACAACGTAATGACCCCCTAAAAAATAGTTGTCCTGAAGGGGCATCCTTAAAACACATTTGAATGAATTGTAAAGACGCTTCAGTCAATACACGTTTTTAGCGGGGGGAGCAAACTTTGGAGACGTCTCATAGCATGAGTGCCTGACTCAAAACGTTGATGTGGACTACATGAGGAAGAACTGTGCCAGAGAAAAGAGGGAGGCCGGGTAACCGGACTATGAACTGTACTATTTACATAGGCTCGCATGTTTTAACACAAACTGTGAAAGGCAGTAGGCTCTACGCGTCTACAATATCACAAG